TGAGCTTGTGTAGCTCCTTGGCTTTGGGGTTTTACCTGTTAGTTGGAGCTTGTGTAGCTCTTTGGCTTTCGATTTTTTTTGCCATCAGGTTTGTGAAGCTTTTGCAGCTCCTTCATTTGGGTTTATTGTTGTCGGTTGTTGAGCTTGAGATTGTTCTTGGCTTTTTTGAGGTTTTTGGCTATCAAGTGGAGCTTGTTTAGCTCTTTGGCTTTGGGTTTTTTTGTGCGTTTTTTCTGTTGTTGGTTTTGATGCTAACATTAGGGTTATGTTGCTATCGGTTGATGTGTGGTTGGAGCATGATGTGCTCCATAGTTGATATTTGGCAATAATGATGATTAGCGTTTACTGAGAATGCAATCTAACTTACAGCGTTTATTATATTCAGATGAGGCAAAATGTGATGATATTGCAGCCTACATTGAATTAACAATGTCTAGGCGAGGCAATCCATCATTAGAATACAATTTGTAATAAACCTGTAAGTTATAGGTGGGGCATTTAATTTTGACAAGTTGATCTATTCCTGAGCCATACAATATCAACTAGAATTTGTACTCAATTCCAATAACGGTTTTCATTACAACATCAATAGTTTTTGCAAGTACAAGTACATGAAATGCGGTTTATAATAATTAAAACAATACAAAAAATTGCTAATAAAATTGCTAAAATTTTCCAAGCTAATAGTTGATTTTCGACAAGTCCCAATTCTTTCTTCATCCTCTTTTATTTCAAAAAATATTTATCTCCGTACCTTTTTTTTGACATATTGGTTTTCTTGGTTGCTTATTTCTCCTTTTTCATCAGCTCATTCGAAAAAATTACATTTTTTATTTGGAAATTTTGTACACCCCCAATTCCTTATTTTTACCATTCTTGCACACTTTCATAGGTGTTCGGAGATTGTAGTCGCAATAACTTCATAATTCTGGGGGCATTCTTCTGATATCATATTGATGTCGGGGAGGCAAATTGCAAACAAAGAAAATTTATAAATTGGTAAGAATGGAGAATGCATTGGAAAAATAAGCTCTCAAGCTAAATTTATAGCGAACTAGCCGTTGTTACAGTGTTTCGGATTTGAACATTGAATTAGTCGCTGGAACTAGCCGTTACTACAGTGTTTTTATTTCAAATATTGAACTAGCCGTTACTACAGTGTTTTTGTTTCAAATATTGAACTAGCCGTCGCTATAATGTTTATCCAAGGAAAAAAATCATTTTGAACCAAACTAGATATTAGGAATTGGAGGGTTTCTATAAAAGTTAGATTCTATTTTTCCATGTAATGGAACAAACATAGAATGCAAAAAAAAAAAAAAAGGATTCCATGAAACTACAAACTTGTCTTAAAATTTTTTATGGAATAGGTAGGAATCCATAAAAAAACCAGATTCCCAATCCTATTCTTGCCCACTAATGAACCAAATACCCCCTAAGGCTAAAGGAACATGTATGCTATAAACAATTGCAAAAACAATTGATCTGGGCAATGAATGCTATTTGGTAATTTATATTAGTTTTAGAAATAGGTAGAATGTATGTTATATTAGTAGCTCAAATCATGAAATATTTTGATCCCATCTTATATTTTGTTGCACTACTCTACAGAAAAAAAGTACAAGGCTTTTCAATTGACCAACATGCTACTGCAAATGATGATATCAGTTCTAAAACATTTCCCAACCATAAATTTAAAGCATACATCTGAAGCATGAGCCTTATCTCTCCTTCTGCAGACCAATACACTTTCTTAAGTTATTGATGGCAATTTAGCACTTTTTGGAAGAGTGTTGAGATGAGTTCTCCATTGCAATAAAACCTGAAAGCAATTACAAAATCAAAATTACAGCAAAATATTTTTCAAAAAAATTAAAAAACAATAAACCAGAACTTACTTTGGATGTTTGGATTTCACAATAGAAATTGCAAAAAAAACTTACTATGGGTGTTTGGACTTACCGATTAAACAGATGACAAAATAGCCAAATTGGTATATTTTGTTGACCCTCAGTGACAGATTGGTATATTTTTTATTTTGACAAATTGGTATATTATCTGGACTCCGGTGCCAAATTGGTATATTATCTGGACTCTGGCGCCAAATACCCCTTGAGTTTGGCCGGATCTAAATTTTCCGGCTAGTTTTCTCACGTGACGGCTCACGTGATGCCCAGCTGGTGGGATTTATTGCACAAAACCACCTCATCTTGCGATTATTCTTAAAAAACCCTCCTCCTCTTCCTCCTCCCCCTCTCCCTGCTCCTGCTCATCCTCTTCGTCTTCAACCTCCTCGTCCTGTGGAGAAATTTGAAGCAGAAAGGAATTCAACCTGAGATACTTCCAAATCCCTAAAGAACACATCCTAAGATATCTTTCTAAAACAGTTGGGGTTTTTACAACATTAAACAGTTCGAGAATCAAAATGAAATGATACCCAGAAAGGGAAAACAGAAATTAAAGTGAATTTGGTGAGGATATACCTTCAGTCTTAATCCCTTATCCATTTTATCCCCATATTCAGATCCCCCTCTCTGTCTATCTCTAAAGACGACAGAAATCCCACAATGAGAATTAAATACATAGTGCAAACAAAATACCAACTTTGAAATGAGAATTATTGTTTTAATTTGTTGGCTGTTGCTGCTTCTAAAAACTGT